CGATGGGAAAACGCGCATTTCCTTCTTCAATGTAACTATAAATGCAGACTTTAGAGTACCGTTGAAACCAGAGGCGAAAGTATAAATGAAACAACATTCGAGATAGAAGTTTTACATTTAAAAAGCGCTTTGTAATATTGTGCGTTTTTTTCTTTTTTTTTTAAAAGTGCCTCAAACCGCGAGAATAAAATCTTTTAATTTTTCCCTGCAACTACTTGAGAAATTTGCTTCGTGCCCGTAAAAGAAATAAATTGGGTTAACTTGATGGAAAGCTGTTTTTCTCAATTGCAAGGGCTTCTATTAAAAATTTGCATATTCTCACAACATAAATTATTTCACATACATTGCATCCAAAAGCCATAAAAGAAAAAAAAAACAATCGAAAAAAGTGAATATATACATAAAGCTTTTGATCGTGAAATACCGCTTTAAGATCTTACTCTCTCAAAAACTTGGCGAGAATTAATTAACAAAGAAAAATCATTCTGGTCCTTCACGGGTCCTCTGTAAAACTCTAGGAAATTTTCCAGAGATTTAGCGGTCGCAAAGAAATCCGCTAGCCATTTATGGAAAAGTAAATCTGTCGACATTTCCGCGCTTGTCTCCAGTCGGCTTAAGGCCGAGTTGCCTTTTGAGTTCATCGGAGGCGAGCTTACGTCCTCGGCAAACGACACGGCGTGACGGGTCCGTATACACCAGCCGCGTGTTCATTCGGTCGATCTTGTGCACATAACTGCGACAGGTATATATATATATATATATACGGAGTTTGATGTACGGCGCGATGTAAATTTCTGGATAGAGATCGATATCATAGTCGCATAGCGCTGTCGTGGCGCAGACCGTTTTTATAGCGTTCTCTCGCGAGAGCCAAAGGCGGCGCTAAGATTTCCGCGTGCGAGCGCCACGATTCAATTTTTATATTTTTATTAAGATACCTCTCTATTCCCCCGTACGTACACCGGGTAACAGCTGTAACGTATACGGTAATCCGGTCGAATGCCTTTTTTTATTCGCGGATGCCAACGATGCTCGCTCGACAGATTGGACCGCGCTGTGATGATAAGTCACGCTCGTGCGCCGTTATCAGTTTGCGCGAAGGGAAAAAAAAATGAACGTGAAATGAATTCGCTTCGACGCAACTGCGATAAAGCTCGTGAGAAATTCAGAAAAATTAAATCGAAATAATAATATCAATTGCGTAAAATTTTTGTCAGTCTGCTGCAAATTCGACGAAGCCACTAGATAAATCTAGTATCTGATTATCACGATGTGCGGTAATTAATTGTTTATGAAAATTTATGATATAAAATTTATATCCTGTAATAATTTAAATATTTTGTTATGCTGTAAAAAAATTTTAGTTTCAGATAGTGATTTGTGATATATATTATTTTTATGAGGCATCTTATAAAGTATTTTATAAAATTCTTTGCAAAGTATTTTTTCGAATAAATGTTGCCAATTTTATTCATATTTCTATTTCGTTAATATGCGCGGCGTTGCCTTTGTACCGCAAGATTTGATCGTTACAAGTTTTATTAAACCCAACTGTGTATATCGTTCCCATGATCGCGCTGATTTATTTACCGATCGCATTTCTCAGTATTAGGATCAGTTACCGTGCGCTATAGCTCGCGTTGAGTTTCATATATAGTTATATGGATGATTCATTATTATGCCAATGAGAGAACGAAGGATAGCGTCTGCGAATACGAAAACTTTTTTTTTGCGGTTTCCCATCGATATAATCGCCTGGGAAAGACACATTGTCCTTCGATCTTTTGATCGTCCTCAAAAATTTTCATTATTATGCACTTGTTGTGCACACTCGTGCAATTTACAATTATTTCTCATAGTTTTAAAATTAATTAACATTAACATTCTTTATGGTGAGAAGATGTATTCCGAATCATCATTTAACAACGTCAAAGTGGAATTGAAAAAAGAAAATCGACGCGGTCGACAACTAGAGATAAAACTAAAAGTTCGTATAATAAGAAAAAAAAATAAAATAAATGGCATAATAAACGACATAATCTTAAGTAGATGTGAAAAAGAACGCGATTTGTTTTAACATAACCGCAGCCGCACGATCCTGCTGTTGTTATTCGTAGCCTAAAGAGGCTCGCTCGGATACGGATAATTTGCTCGAACGGCGTTTTGATATCCCAAAATAATTTGCCGAAAAAGATCGGCAGGTGCGGAACGACGAGTTCGCTCATCGTGCCACTTTTTCTGTTTGCAGCTTCGACGAGACGTCGATGGACAGCTGCATATTGGCTACCATCGACGAGGGCCGCCGAGTCAGTGACTTGTCGGGCGAGCCGATGAAGGACAATAACGAGGTGGAAGTGACATCATTGGAGGAGGCCAAGTCGGTCATAGCGGCACTCAGAGCGAGACAGCGGGCGCAGGCCCACCAAATGCTCGCCTGGCGGAGGACCCTTAAATTGCAGGTAAGTTTCAATTACGAGAAAGGATCTCTACGTGCAAAGACGATTCCCTTTGTCCCTCCCCCTCCCCCTCCCCCTCCCCCCTCCCCATCCACCGCCGCCGCCGCCGCCGCCGCCGCTCTCCGTCTTCTTCGATCGAGGAAATCGGCCGAGAACGCGGAACGCGATCGATCAAAGCTATTACCTCTGTAAAACCATAAAACACGCTCGGCCCCACGAACCGATGTTACGGACAGTGAAATATTAGATACACGGTGATCCATTTAGATGCGAACCGGTACATATTTTTGCCGCTTTGTAAAAAGCGGGAGCGAGTGAATGTTTTAAATTAACGTATTATACTCGCGCCTCTATATTGCAGACACGTACGCTGCAATTGGAAATATCCACTAAATT